ACTCACGATCTTGCTGTCTGAAATTCCTAGGAATGGTCAGGAATCACTTGATCCCTAATGTGTATAAGAATGTACTCTGTAGTACATTATGTATGTACATTATGAAAAATTATATTCATAAAATGTATTGTTCGTAAAATTCATTGTTACATAATTGGTTGCTAAATTAACTGCTAAATACTGTCATAAAACAATATTAGGAAAAACAGCCACACGAAATATTTTGTGGAAACTTTCTAGGCTGCAGAAATGGAGACTAGGGGTGTGTGTGTGTGAGAGGGAGAAAGGAGGGAGAAAGGAGGAGAGAGAGAGAGAGAGAGAGAGAGAGAGAGAGAGAGAGAGAGAGAGAATTGTCACATGCTTTTTTCTAGTTAACATACCCATTTTCATTTCCTGATAAATGGTGAGCCAATAGGTGAACTATCATACATAAGTGTTGGGTGAATGTTCTTATCTCCTGACATCTTCCCTAATGCAGTGGGTTTTGTTTTTTTTTTCAAAATTCACATGTGAATCAGCAACTATATATTATATATTAACTATAGATAATCAAATGATGCGCCTGCAGGTCTGAATATCTCTGTATTATGTTCTATAGGCATCCTTCCTAATATTGAACTTATTAACCAAAATCAAAAGGACCCTTGCATAGTCCTTTGGGCATTCAAGACATCTTACAACATCTCAAATCCCCAAATGAACTATGTAAGGGTCCTTTTTGTAGATTTCAGCTCTGCATTCACCACCATCCTTCCTGAAATCCTCCTCTCTAAACTGACTCAGCTAGCTGTGCCTGGCCACACTTGTAGATGGATCATAAGCTTTCTAAAGACTAGGAAGCAGCAGGTGAAGCTAGGGAAAAATCACATTGAATGCCCGTTCAGTTAGTACAGGAGCCCCCCAGGACTGTGTGCTCTCTCCATTGCTCTTCTCTCTCTATACTAATGACTACTTCTCGAAGGATCCTTCTGTTAAAGTACTGAAGTCTGCAGATGATACCACAGTCATTGGTCTCATTTGAGAAGTTGATGAGTCTGCATATAGACAGGTGGTAGATCAACTGGTCCTGTGGTGCAGCCAGAACAATCTGGAGATGAACATTCTTAAAAACCATAGAGATGATAACAGATTTTAGAGGAAGCTCTCTTATTCTACCGCCTCTTACAATATTAGGCAACATAGTATCAATGGTAGAGACCTTCAAGTTTCTAGGTTCTATTATCTCCAAGGACTTGAAATGAACACCTAACATTAGAACTATCATTAAAAAGGCACAATAAAGAATGTTCTTCCTGCATAACTGAGTCTCAGTTAAAACCAAGCCGAAACTGGGGCAGAGAGGAGGAGGACGGGGGCGTGGCTCAAAAGAAATAGCTTGGTCTCAACAGGAAACAGACAAATCAACCTATCCTTGGCCACTCCTGGGACTATTCAGAGAAGGGGTGTGTCAGGTAGGGCCAACGCCCATTCCATTGAGGATCTGTATACTGCATGAGTCAAAAAGAGGGCTGTGAAAATATTTACAGACCCCTCGCATCCTGGACATAAACTTCTTCAACTCCTACCCTCAAAATGACGCTATAGAGCACTGCACACCAGAACAACTAGACACAAGAACAGTTTTTTCCCGAACGCCATCACTCTGCTAAACAAATAATTCCCTCAACACTGTCAAACTAATTACTAAATCTGCATTACTATTAATCTTCTCATCGTTCCTATCACCCATCTCTTCCCACTTATGACTGTATGACTGTAACCTTGTTGCTAGTATCCTTAAGATTTATATTGACTGTTTCCCTATGACTATCGTTAAGTGTTGTACCTTATGATTCTTGACAAATGCATTTTTTCTTTTATGTACTCCGAGAGCATATGCACCAAGACAAATTCCTTGTCTGTCCAATCACACTTGGCCAATAAAGAATTCTATTCTATTCTATTCTATTCTATTCTATTCTATTCTATTCTATCTATTCTATTCTATTCTATTCTATTCTATTCTATTCTATTCTATTCTATTCTATTCTATTCTATTCTAACCTGAAAACTACAGATCTTACTGTGAGTAGTGTGATATGTGCAGCCCACACACATTAGCCTGTTAGTCAAATAAAAAAGTATTTAAACTTTCACAGAGGGAAGGGTAAGTGGGAACTGATTTCAGATTTATGGAGACAGAACCCTAGGATCTTATAATTAGAAACAGAAAGAAAAGTCGGAGGAGCATAAAAAACTAAAAGAGCATATGGTGAAATAAGGGCAAATCAATATGTTTTTTGGAGGAGGGGAGAAGATCAGAGGGCTCAGAACCCAAGCTTTGAACTGACTCTGGTTTGAAGAGGAAATCAATGAATAACCCAGCAATGTATGAAACATTTGAAATAGTGTAGAAGCTCCTGAATGGCTTCAGTGGTACAATTCTGGACTAAGAGCAGAAACAAAGAGAGGAAAAAGCAACTACCCAGGCCTAGAAAGAAAGAGGAAAAAAACACTATACCACCTTTATAATATTTTCTTTACTTCTGCATTTGGCAGTATGTAGCTTAAAAGGCTTCTTGTTAAAAGTGATATTCTGTTAATCCAGATAAAATCAATAATTTAGCACGTAGAGAGGCATTTGGCACGTAGTGCATCCTTTTCATTTTTTTGACAAGAGAAAAACACGGTGCTTTGTTTTTAATATGTTGTTGTGGTCCAAGAATGAAAGTATTCCCATAAATCTGTTAACATTAGCACATTTTGTTTGAATTTAGTATCATGGTCTTCTGTGTTATTTATTTTATGTTTTCAGATAAAATGCTTCCGCTTTTGAATGTCTCTCTGAAATGGTTCTGGCTTTGCTATGAAGATGTAAAGTATTTCACACTTAGCAGATGCAATCCTTGTCATAAGATCTGATTACAGAAAAGATTTCAATCTTTCTGCAGCCATTGTACGGGGAATGTGAAACAAAGTAGGGCCTGTCAAATTATCTAGTTAGGCAACTTTTACTGCAGTGTAGATGCTTATCTGTAAATGCACAGATATCTCTCCATGGTTTTTATTTTTCTTTTCCCCTCTAATAACAAGCTATGGTAGATATTTTTATAGGAACTGTTGAATGTATATTTTGGTATAATATTTTATCTGTACGTAGAAACCACGGACTAAATGTGCTGTATTATAGAAAATTTCAAATTAAAGAGTTCTCATTAGATTTTGAAGACAGCAACAACAATGTGTAACAACATTGCTTCATCAGTTGCTCTGGTTCACAATAAGCTTCTGGGTACAATTCAAGGTATTGTTTTCCCCTATAAAGCCCTTCATGGCATTAGGCAGGGGGTCCCCAAACTTGGGAGCTTTAAGACTTGTGGACTTCAACTCCACAAGTTGAAGTCCACAAGTCTTAAAGCTCCCAAGTTTGAAGACCTCTGGCGTAGGGCCTGGTTATATGAGAGTCTTTCTGTCTTAAGGAACCCTCTGTATCTACCTGTATTGTAGGGCATATATGTCCTATATGGCACCCAGGTTCTGTTGATTAAGCAGTATCACTTCATAGGATCCAATAACTAGACCTTGTATATTGTAGCATTTCCCTTCTGGAACAGCTTCCCCCTAGATCCAGTCAGCCCTCACTCTGGCTTTATTGAAATAACCCCTTAAAACTTGACTCTTTCCCCAGTCCTTGGGCTAGAATGGAGTGTGTGATGTTTAGAGGTTATGACATTTTTCTCTCAAGTTTGTTTTTATGTTCATGTTTAGAAGTTATGACATTTTTCTCTCAAGTTTGTTTTTTATATTGTTCTGTATTGCATTGTTTTAAATTGATGTTACATGCTACCCAGATTCACAATGGAATCAGATGGCCTACAAATTTATAAATAAGTTTCCCCATTTTCTGACTGATATTCTTCGTATTAAAGAGGAGGGAATTATTGCAGTATAATTTTTGTTTCTAAAAAATGCATTAAAAATAAGATTGTTTTGTTGTTGACTTTGAGTGTTCTGTTTAATCCATAGGCATGAACTACATTTAAAAAAAAAACCTCCTACGAATTTGAATTAGCAGACTGTAAAAACAATATTATTACTTTACAAAATAGAAAGAGAAATTAATAGGGGGAGTTTAAGAGTTTGGCAGATAAGAAATTGATTCTCCAAGAAAAGAAGTTGACCTTTAGGAATTTTGAAGGGAAAACCATTATACTGGATGTATTTCCAACTTGGGATTCTGTATCAAATTACGTTTGTTGGGCATTCTAGGAGGCTCTATTTTAAAAAAAAAGGCTTAGATGCTTTTCTCAAGGACGTTGACATTTAACATAAAGAGTACCTTGCCTTCATAATACCTAAATTTAAATTTGGATTTAAATTTATTTAAATCCAAAATAAATTATATTTTAATTGGAAGCAATTTATATAGAAAAATAGTAATTAAATCAAAAGTATTTATCTGCCCTTAGAAATCCAGTCATACTCTAAAACTGTATGGCACTGTTCATTATGCATCTTAAAACTAAATAATTTTCTGTAGCAAATCCATTTTCTACTCATCTTTCCTATGCAGTATTTTCAAAGAACCATAGAACATGTTTGTTTGGTTTTTTTTGTGATACAGGACCCAAAAAAGGGTTTTTGGGGAGGGAAAGTGAAACATAATCCTGCTTTCAGAAACTAATCTGTCACTGAGACCTGAAATGGCAATTTATGTGGTCTGGTATTTCATTGTAGTCTGTCTCTGGTTTGTCTCCCTGGGCCACTGTGGTACCTCCTCTATGTGTTAGAGGCCATTCTCCTCCAGAGATAAATTCTGATGTTTCTATCCTGCCTTTTGCCTAAAGGCTTTCAGAAGTTCAATTTAAAGCTGTTCACAGTGGAATGATAGATTTCCTTTGCCAAGTCAAAGAATTAAAACAAGGAAATTACCTCTAGTGGCATGTTTGTGATGTGTGTTTGTGTTTCTCCTGAGGTTCAAATTATTAATTTTCTTTGTTTTTTGCTTTGGTTCTTGATAGGCAATCTGATAAAACCCTGGTGAGAAACGGCAATTGCTGGTTTTGCCGAGATGTCACGGCACCACAGCCGGTTTGAAAGAGATTATCGCACAGGATGGGATCGCCGGGAGTGGAATGCCAACGGGAATCATGTAAACAGCAACAGTAACTGTAACAGCACAGTAAACAGCAATAGCAACAATAGGCCAGGTCTTCTGCCTGTACCAATTGTCCCATCCAGATTGCATGCGCCGGCCACAGGGGCTTGCACTACTGTGAACAGCGATGTGATAACTACCCTTGCAGCCAGTAATTCTGCAGCCTCAACAACCAAAGTAAGAAGCAGCTTCTTTGTGCTCTTTTTTAAAAATCGATAACGAGTTAAAACTTTTTAGAGGGTACGAATTTTTGCTTTCAGTTGACTTGCCTGTTGATGGCAGTCTGCACTGGGATTCTGCTCTCATATTAGTTTATGGTGCTCAATTGCCTAGATGTCCATAGACAACTCTTACATTGTGATGGTGTGGTATTGTAAAGATACTCAAAACCAGCCCAAATTAACCCTACTATGAAATTCTGAGCATATTACTGCAATGTTGATAATTTTTCATTGCAGTTTTCTGGAGCGGCATTAGAAGATGCTTACCATTGCCATTGGTATCTGTATGTTTAGTTGTTTACTACATATATATATATATATATATATATATATATATATATATACATACATACATACATACATACATACATATACATACACTATTGTACTACAGAATTATTTAAAGTACTGGTAATGGTGATCTTCGTTCTGTTATATATGTAGCACATTGTAATTATTAGCTGGGGTCTCTCATAACACTAAGCAACACTGCAGTTGCTTGGCTCAACCTTCGTGTTTTGTGAATCATGGTTTATGGCTTGCTGTTTTGTATGACCCACTCGGTTTGTTGAATAAACTATGAAGTAACGTGAGTCAGACAATTATCTATTTTAGTAGTTTATAATTTAGATGTACTAAATATTCTTACAGAAGCCCAGTATATTTCTCATGAGTACAAGTTACTTCTTTTCCAGAAGCAACGCAGCTTCTCTTGGAAATTAACATCCAGAACATTTTTAGTATTCAGTTGCAACACACAGTTGTGAGACACTGTGATAACTGGAACTCCAAGGACCAGTTGTAAATTCCATTTTTTCAGTGCTGTATTAACTTTGTACAGTTACTAAACAAATGTTCATAAACTGAGGATTACTTGTCAAAATAATTTTGTCTATGATGTATTTGACTCTAAAAACTATTTGTTATGAGATATCTGTTTTTCAGATTATTTGGCAGTTGGAGATTGCTTTTATTTTTCACTAGCCTTTTTAGGATAATATTTCCCACAATTTTCCCACTTGAGATTTCAAAATTCCTCCTGTTTCTACTTCATAATTCAGTCTTTCAGTAGACACTGTAGAGTTGTTTGATCATGTGTGCATGAATATCCCTGTCTTTATCAATCCATATTTCATCACAAAATAATACCAGGGCAATATATCAATTAGAATACAAAATAGGTTAATATCACAGGAAGGAAAAGCTGACAGAGACCTGTTAAACTGGAACAGTATAATGTCTTTTTTGTTATAGAAAGTAAAGCACAGTCCATTAAATCAATCACTTAGTAGAATTGGATTTTAACTGGATTAATAAAAAAAAAAATCCACAGGTTTTAGCAGGTACCAAACACTAACCTATAATCGTTGCGTGATGATAGATATTTCACAGTTATGGACCTCCTTATTGGATAATTAGTTCCAGCATCCCTAAGAGGGTTAAAATAATTTCAGGTAATAAAGGGAGCAGAATAAAGGGAGGGCTGCTCCTTCAAAAAACGAGTTTCTGTGTTATTTAGTCTATTAACATATGAAAAGTATTATTTGAAATTCATTCGGTTGATATCGGACTTCTCCTGACTGATAGAATATGAAGTTGGCTATAACCTCGAAGAAATTGTTCTCCTCGCTAGTGGACCATCGTGCTCACTTTTCAGCAAAAAAACCCTCTATAGGCATTTTTATATGTTAAATGTCAAAAGAGGTCCTCCCCATTAATTCCTCTAGGACAGGGATGTCAAAGTCATTTTCATTGAGGACCACATCAGGGTTGTGTTTGACCTCAGAGGGCCGGGAGAGATGGGGGTGTGGGCATGGCCATGGTGGGCGTGGCCAGCTTGATGTGACTCATATCAGGGGCACCTGTGGTGGCCAAGTGCTAAGGCAGGACTTTCCTGAGACCCTCCCTCACTCTCATTATAATATCCTTCCTTCCTTCCTTCCTTCCTTCCTTCCTTCCTTCCTTCCTTCCTTCCTTCCTTCCTTCCTTCCTTTTCTTCTTTTTCCTTTCCTCTTCATTCTCTTTCTTCTTCCTTCCCCTTTTTCCTTATTTTTCCTTCCTTTCTCTCTTCCCATCTTCCCTTCCTTTTCTTTGTTTTTCCTCTTTCCCTTTCTTCTTTCCTGTCCCTTCTTGCATGCTCAAATGCAAAGGGGGAAATATTTCTCCTTTTGTTTTGTTTTTAGTTTGTTTTGCTAGCCCTCTGCCAGTGAAAAGAGAGCTCAGCCCCCCCCCCAGCTCCGTTTTCATTGGCAGAGGCATCACGGGCCAGTCCTTTGCTATTTCCAGCCCAGACCCACCCTTGAGTTTGACACCCCTGCTCTAGGATAAACATTCCAGTTTTCTCACCAAAGCCCTCGTGCCTATAACATTGTACATGTTGTGGAATTCTTTCTTTCTATCTCATTGGCATCCTTCAGTCTCAAGAGACTATGGTATTGTGCTCTGGAAAGAGGTCCTAAAACAGCATCTAGTGTGACTAAAAAGGCCAATTCGAGAGCGGCAATCCCTTCCACCTGAGGACAGATATATTCTGTCCCCTGCCCAGCCCCCAGATTTCACTGGTTCCGGGACTGCCTCTTTGCCTCAGCCTGCCAAACAAGTGTCTCTTCGAATTGGAGAAGGCCATGCTGTGTCTTTAGCCTCCAAGCTGAGCGATCGGAGGTCAAGGTTTCCCAGTTGTTAATGTCCATTCCCAGGGCCTTTAGGTCCCTCTTGCAGATATCGTTATATTGCAGCTGTGGTCTTTCTATCTATCTGGATGGGATTAAAGAATACTCTGAAGTCAATGCGCCCAATGAGAGCAAAGATGTTGCTTCACAGAAGTTCTCCTGGAATACCAGACATAATTCAGTGCTACCAGCTAGCTAAGCAACAGTATAAAGAAACGAGTCTCAAGACATGACTATATTTTGGGGAAGTTCCCCCCCCCCCCAAAAAAAACCACACACAGATACTTCCATCAATCAACATCAACCTAAATACTAGGCCCTTTTGATATAAAAATTCGTCACACAGTCAGTCAGATCTTCAGACTGGATTTGGCTTTTTTTTTCAGCCTATCAAGTTCTTCTCAAGGATCTAGGATAGGCAGATGATATAAATATTTATACTATTATTTTATTGGGAATAATTGTTCTCTAATCTTTACTCTTTTCCCTGTTTCTATCATCCGAGTCCTCTTTAGTTAGGATACTGATAAGTAAGTAATAAACTATTTGGGAGCAGCTGTGCAATTCAATCCCCTTTTGTGGAAAATACCAAACTCCAACACTGACAGGATGTGCAGGACAAACAAATACATTTAAGGTTCTTTTTTTCTTTATGTCAAGTTTACAGAATAGCTAAGATGTTTAAAAATATATTTTGAGAGTAAAAGGCAGACCAGCAGATTTTGTGGAAATGTTTGTTATAGTTGAATGGGAATACATGCACTTCTGGTTTTCACTTTATAATATAAACAAAAAGCTTTCCTAGAGCCTTTTAATGATTTGTAAGTGCCAAATGAAACAGATGTGTAAGGGGGTGGCAACAATAAATTTATTTAAAGGAAGCCAAGCTTGATTCTTTTAACTATGTTTCCTTCCACACTGTTTCTACCACACATATTAAACAAATAAATTGATGAGAGGAAAACACTTCAACAATGATTTATAAGGGTACTGTCCTTTAAAAAATGCTTCAGTATAATGCAACAATTTTCATTTGCTAACAGAGAAACTGAAATAACATTTCAACTAAGCTGCAATTTTTTTTGAAATTGCTGTTTAACTATGTTTTGATTGGAGAAGACTAGAAGGCAAGCTTCTGAAGCCAGCACAATGGATTCATTTGTCTTGACCTCAACTCCTGGATATTATGGAGTCCACTTGTTGGCTGCTGTTAATCTATCATTGCTCCAGATGTTTGAAACTACTGAGCAGCCTTTGTTTTCAAAAGGAAAATATTGATCAAATAATTATTCTGAAAACAATATTTCTGTGGGTAATATAATAACACCTAGATTCTTCGGGACATTTTCCTTTGGGCTTAACATCCAAGCAGCAGAAACAAGGCTATTTCTGAATCTACCCAGACAATACACTTTTTATTTATTTTTATTTTATTTGATATATTTACATCATTTCATCAATTGATATTTATGTCCTTTAGATAATTATTTAAATGATGCAAATTAGTGCAGATGACATGGCAAATGTCAGTTGTGCAGATGATATAAATTATATGAGTTATATGATTCTGATTTAGCGGATTTTTGGCTTTAATGAAAACCCTTTCATCCTGAGGGTCAGTTAAATTGAAGTTTTACTGTAACTAATTTTTAAAACAGCTTTCCACAGAAGATTAAGTCATCACTATATTGTGATTAAATGTTCATATAAAAAATGAAATGAAAATGTTTTAAAAGGGATAGCTGATCATGTATTTCAGCCCAATAGTTACACAAATCAATTCTAGATACGTTGATCAAACCTCATGATTACATTGCTTGTATGAAAGGACAAACAGCTCAGGGCAATGTTTGTGTGCATGATATTATAACAAGGAAATTTTAATATTACTGATCTTGGGAGTCTTCTTGATATGTTGTTTTTTTCTGATATAAGGATCTATACAATCCTTTCTTTGGTTTCACACTTATCATTGGAAAAATCCTTTATCTGGAACATTTAAACTTCAGGATATATTTTTCAAGTTTTATATTTCTAATAATATTTAATTAAAGTTATTCAAGTTTGAGAGAAGATAGGGTGTTTTTTTTCTTGGCATTACTTTAACAAAGGGATTTTGTGATATAATTTTATGTAATTAAATTTTAAAACCAAGGCTTCTTTTGTTAACAAAATTAACATATTTTAACATTACATTCCTTCCTTTGAGAGAGAGTCAGGGTTTTCAAGTAGCACCAAGAAAAGGGGGGGGGGAAGGAAGGCAACCAATAGAAGTTGTCACTTGAAT